TACCTCTTTCCGGCATGCCTTCGTGGTGTAACGATAGCACACTCGGCGCGTATTCGAGAGGTCTAGGTTCGACGAGGGCTTTGCTTTTTCATAGCTCCTACTTCAAAAGGACCTAATGACTCTAAAGTGGCGTCCAAACTAAAAGGTGGTGGGCGATGGTTCGTCACCATCAGGATTTGGCGACTGGGTCCCCTAATCACCAAGTCGCCCTTGAACAGGAGAAGTATATAAGGTATTTTCTCTTTCTTTCCAGCATGCCCCCGTGGAGTAACGGTAGCACACTCAGCGCGTATTCGAGTCCCGGCGAGTGCGTTGGTCATTTTTCATGTCTCCAGCTTCAAAATAACCTGATAACCCTCTAACCTTTGTAGGTTTTTTTTAATTTGCATAAAAAAATTATTTTTAAGTTTTCCTGTTCTCAACTTCTGAAATTTCCCCTCACATTCTCTCGAAAGGATGTAAATTTAAAGTGAAGTGCTATTCAAACGTGTGATTATCTCAGTTTATTCAGAGCGTGTTTCGCTAGCCTAGAGCACGTTTCATTGTTATTTCGCGGTCACGCTAGTAAGTCTCTTGGCCTTATCAGTTTAGTATCACGCCGGTTAGATTTCTGTGATTCCATCTCTTAGGAGTAATTTTGAAGTGCGTTCTTGCACTCGTTTGTTTTTCAGATTTGATTTATATTATAGTCTACGTTTAGTTACCGCCGCAAGGGAACGGTGTTTTTGTGTCGCACAAAGTCCGTGCTTTCTGTTAAATTAGTTTGATTCAATAAAAGGTTATTTTGCACCCTTCTTTTGTGCTGGTATTTAATGCACGCCTGTGCGAGAATTCGGCAGGTTCATTGTATGATCTAAGTCAGTGTATGTGGACAAGTAGAGATAGATCTTACAAGTGGCTCCCGAATTTTTCTGAACTCATGGCTAACAACGAAGGTGCAGCTCCATCGACATCACAGATCCCACTGGCTCCTGGAAGTATGATGGAAGGCTTTAAATATCTGGTGGACACTATGAGGGCCTCCATGAAACCCTCAGTGATATTTGACGGAAGAACGTCGGTAACTAGCTTCCAAGAAATTTTAGATAATCACTTTTTACTTTATCCTGTTCCTGATGTACAAAAGATCACGATAGCCACTACTGCCTTGCGAGGACAGGCATTAAGTTGGTTTAAAGGCATAGGAGAATTTCGATTGGGAGAAACTGGAAGCCCCACTTATACGTTCGACAATTTTAAAGCCGCGCTAGTAAAAGCTTTTCCCGTGGTGAAGGATAGAGCTAGGCTTGAAGCCGAATTGTACGGTAAGTACCGATTTAAAATTAAAGAATTGCCTAATTTCATCTTACGCATGGTCCAAGTAGCAAATCTGTTATATGGTAAAAAGCCCGACGAAGAACTAATCCAAATTATCTTGCCTCGACTATTGCCGCAAGTTCAGGATTATATTGAAGTAATAAACCCCAGCACTCTAGAACAATTGTTCGGTGGTGAAATTCGAGAGTAGGAGGATAGCAGAAAGTACGCGTACCAGAAGTTTTGGTCAAAGACCAAACGGACAGTTTTTGAGGCCATATGCGGAAAAAGCGAAACCATCTTATAATGGGATTAAATTTCAAGATAAAAAGAAGGGCGATTGCCAAAATAGGCCGCAAGGTTCAAAAAAGGGGGCAGTTAAGAAGGATTTAAGCTAGGACGGGTGGCTGCTGAAAAGGGGGTACAGTAACCCCATTCGAATAAAAATCCCTCAAAAGTTCAATTGAATACGATGATAATAAAAAATTTGTCCTTACCTGTAATTCACATTCGAATAAATAAGGTGTCAAAAGAGGCCTTTGTGGATACGGGAGCAGAAGCAAATTTTTTGTCAGAACAATTCTTTCGAAATAATTTTAAGAATTATAGATTATTTCAAGCGCAAAACACGAAAGTCATTGCAGCGCAGGGCAAACATTGTTCATGTATACGTAAAGCAACGTTTAATGTAGAGATAAAAAACGAAGTTCAAAAGTCTATATTTTTTGTAGTGCGAAATCTACAACTTTCGGTAATTTTGGGCACAGAATTTTTAAATGGTTTATTTTGATCAGGACAAACTAAATTTTTAAGCGAGATCTTATTTTAACTTTATTTGGCTCTTCCTAAGATTCACATGGGAAAATTTCTCCGATGAGCCTATGCAATCTTCTGCATTTACCAATTATACATTCCCCTATGTATAAAAATATTTATTCATTGTGAGTTGTGACAAATTTATTTATTTCCGAGGCAAATGAATTCTAACTATTGACACCCTCGTTTAGTGATATTTTTCTGCCAAATATAACTGACAAAATCATAGTCATGTATTTATTATTTCTATGCAAAGGAAATTTATTTATTAAAAATAAAAATCCTGAAAACACTTCCATTGGGGAATGGAAGGGCTATATTCATATAAGAAATAATAAATTGGTATAAAATAATAAGTAGCTAGAAATAATTAGCATTAGCCGTATTCAAATATACTACAATAAATTATAATAATTTTTGATTTTATTGTTGCATATTTATGCTTGCAACTGTTTTATATATGCATACATAGCATTTCGCCGAAAGAAAAGGTACAAACATCTCAAGTATAAGTTTCCGTACAAAATTGAAGGTTGCTTTAAACTGTGTTGAACTCATGTCTGTGCTAGATTTATGTTGAGGAAATGCTGAAGGAATGATTGAGGAAACTACACAATTTATAAACTATATAAACTATTTCCTCTGTCTTGCGGCCCACCAGGCGGTCGAGTGGTAATGTCGCTGAACACTGGTAGTTTGGTCCAAGGTTTGAATTCCGCGAACGGGCTGGCTGCATGGGCCTTTTCGTGTTTTTCCTCATGTCTAACGTGTATACGAGTCGGTTCCCTTAGAAAGTCTTCCACGAAGGTATCCCTTCCCTTAGGCAGATAGCCCTCGAGTGCTTTGCCGTAAACAAATAAAGCAAACCCTCTAATTCACTTTTGCAAAGTTACTTTGCTGCTAAACTATATTAATTCCTTTCTTCTGTCATAAAATTCTACTTCAAGTTGTATTTTTTTTTTTTTTGCTTTCAAAATATAATTTCGTATAGCTTTTCATTTCAAAATTCCACTTGATATTGGTTTCTTTCAGTAGAAGTAGTAGCAGGTATTTCCCATGAATAATTTTACAAAATATATAAAGTTATACCAAAAATCTTCTCTTAGACTAAATCCTTCTTTACACTGACATTGGTTTTATAGAAAAGATTATGCATTTCGACAGAAACAGACACAAACTTCCTTTTCGTTGAGCTTTCCAGAATATGTAAATTCAGACATAAGAATAACACATAGCCCGTCTCTCCTGGACTTTATGTAGTTCTTCTGTAAAATAATTTTCAATTTAAAGTAAAATTGTGTAGAGTTTATTTCGGAGCAAGAAAAATGAACATGTGCAATACCCCGCCCTGGGATTCGAATTCAGGTTCGCCGGACTTGCTTCCAATTACAACACGAAAGCATGCTGCAAAGAGGCAGGAAACGCCTTACATTCTCTCCCCTCTTAAAGGCGACAGAGAAGCAGGGGACCCAGTCACCAAATCTTGGAGGTGATGAATTACTCTTTCAACTAAGCTACACGATATGTTACTGCTTTTTTTTTACGAATGAGACAGCAGAAAGAAAGAAACAAACAAACAAACAGAAAAGCATCCGCATAAAATATTAGCGCGAATCAGAGTCACTAACAGTAAGAAAGTTGGTGATCATGAGTTTCAAAAAGTTCTTTGAGGTCGTCATCGAAGGGCTTGTGGATCCTGTTCTGAAACATTTTAATTCCTTCCATAAACATAATTAACTTTGTTAAGGCAATAAATTCATATACCTTGGAATTCAATTATTTGAAAAAAAGATTTCTTAACTTTTACTATAAAAGTATCAAAGAAGGTATTTTTGTGGGCTATATATCTGGCAAATTATTTTTAGATCAGGATTTTTATGCGATAAAACTAAACGAGCTGCACTGCAGTCTTGTATGATTTTCCTGGGCAAGTGTTAGCAGAAAACTATCGAAAGGAGAAACATGATGTCACACAAAATCATGGGACGTAACATGTCTTTAAAATTTAATTAAAAAAAAATTACTTAGTTTTTTTTTCTTAGCAGTGTTGAAATTGTAAATGAAGTGGAGAAAGGAGGGCTTTTGCTGAAACATTTCTCCTGCTGAGGAAGGGTATTAAAGCTATGGGATTCCTAATACGCTAGCTGAATATCTGCTTTGGGTAAAGGGGGGTTCTTCTGGTCAGGAAAAAGTTTTGTTATTTGATTAAAGTCATGTACTTTTTAGATAATTTTAATTCTCTATGTGGAATTAAATTAATGTTTACTTATACAAACTAAATATTATGAAATGCTCGAATTATATGAAAATTCAGTATATTTAAATTCCTCAACAAAAATTTTGTTGGACTTACGAAATTTGATCCACGTGACAAAAAGAAAATTAAAATTTGTTAATCAGTGACATTAAATAGTCCTTTTGTGACTCTGTTTTCTTGAAAAATCCTTTTACAATCAGTACATTTAGACACAATTTTTCCATCATTTGCGAAATATGTTAATGAAATGCAGCTGAACTAAATTTATTTGACAATTTAAAAAAATGACTTCAGTATTTTGACATTATTTTGAATTATATTTTGAAACTTGCAGACATTAGCTGTACATTATTATGTCAGATTGAATAAGAAACAGGCAGAACCATTCGTTAATTTACCTTGAAGCCTGTTAGGGACTGCACCCCGCGTAAAAAAGTACTTGTTGAAGCAAAATGAATATACTGACCAAAGTTTGCAGTCTGATGTTCATTGTTTTACATTTTTACTGGAAAATAACTTCATATATTTAATCTTACTAGAGAAAATTTTGTTATTTCATTTCGTGCAATGTACTCGAAGAAACATATATTGCAAAACCGCTAAGAAACTGAAAGAGTGAAATTCTGCTTACCTCTTCCATAAAAGCCTGCTTAGAGTCATGAGTCAACTACTGTTATAATCGAGTGGCGGGTTTTGAAGCGATGTTCGTTGTTTTTAGTTTTATTCAGCGCCGTTGCTAAGCAACATTTTCGACTAATTCCAACACCTTCGTGTTATTGTAGCTTAATATCGCTAAGCTCTATTGGACTGACATACGCAGAGGAATTAATTTGTAACTTTCCTGACTATTCTGTTCATTTCATTTCCCAAAATGGTTTCATCCAAATGAAGACCATCAAATAGGAAGGAAGACTACCGAATCCTGCCAAAGATTTAATTCAGTTACTTGATCAATTTTACAAATTTTATTTATTTTTTAATTCCTTTATCATTTTTTTTTTCTTCTTACGGTGGTATTTGACATTTTTTTAACAAAATTTCTCACTCCTCTTACCTTGAGGATTTTGAATAGGATTGATTGACATTTTATCTATTTTATACTGATTTTGGCATCCTCGATGAAAGCAGAACAAGAATATGATGCATTTTATCCATTATTTATGATATGAATTCTTAGAATCGCAGGTTTAGATTTCAAATACGTTCTTCTGCAGTTTCATTATATGTTTTTCAATTGATAGATTTGAGTTGCGACAGTTATTTTATGTTGTACTAAGAGTTAATTTAAATATATGTTTATGCAAATTAAGAGCATAGGAAGGAGATTTTAAAATTTAGTTAGATTAATGGCAATTGAGGCTTGTGTAGTGAAGGACCACTGGGCTGACCACGAGAGCTAGAACCAATCTTTTATAAAGAGGAAATATTTGTCAGAGACCGTAGATATTGCCATTTGCTTCACTTTTGGTAAATGACTTTAAAGTGAGAGATCAGCCGAGGGAAAACGAATTACAGAGCTAAAACAGTAATTCGTAATTCCGAAAGCTAAAATAAATTGCAACTGACAATTTCTCCAATTCATTCTGAAGTTTAAATGAATCTACTTTGAAAATATAATGGGAGTTTTATGAATATGTATGTTAATAGTGTAATAACTTTATGCTCCTACCGGTGCTTATTCCCATGTTAGAAACGTCTATGAACTTTACATTTCCTCATTTTTGGTGACCATGAAGCTAGATTACTCTAGTAAAGCAATTTACTTCCGTATAAATGTTGCCATTAAATCTGTCGTGAGGCATTAAATCTTTCATTTTTACGCATGTGAGCTGATAATTTGCAACAGTCAGAGGCGCTACCATAAGACCTTTAATTTACTCCTTAAATTAAACATTATATTGTTTAAATAAGAAGTTGAAAGGGAATATACATATTTCTTTATAATTTACATATTTATTTTATTTTCAATAAAGTATAACTATTGTAATTCGTAATACATCTAATTCACGTGATTTGTTATATATCTAATTGACAAACAATTGAGCAATTACTATATATAATCAATAAAATACGCTTTAAACATCATACATTATGTACCTTGGAACATATTATTCGCTTATAGAAGCAGAGAGAATTTTAATACTTCTAGTGATGTAATTTATTATGAACCTAATTTAACATGCATTTCGAATTGATGTTTTTTCTTTTTTATTATTTGTTCATATGCCTCACTTCGATCTTCATCTGCTCTATGTACGCTTATTTTCATTCACATGTTGTTTATTCCTATTGTTCACTTCGATTAAATTATAGGTAAAAATTAAGAGGGCGGCTTACACACGCGAAAGTACGGTGTGTGCATTTCTGTTTATATTTGATTATGTAAGATTTATATTTGTTAACACATTATTATGTCATTTCTTTTCTGTTCCTTCAGTTTCTTCCGTCAGAATAAAAATTAGGGTGGTTTAATATATGAGCTAATTTGTAGGTTATTTGTAGCACATCCGACGCAGACAAACAAACAAAAAAAAAAGTTAAAAGATTAAATACAGATTAAACAGATTAACACAGATTGTGTATCTTTAAAAATACACTCACACAATACAAAATAAAGAAAATCATAAGCATAGTCGGTTAGAAAACAAAAAATAGTAAGACGACACATAACTCACTCACCCAACACATAAACTCGTAAACAAAAGAAAAACTAAAATATTTAATGTCCTATTCCTATAGTAGTCTTGTTTACATTCACAATCCTCATAATTTCTGTTGCATAGCTATTCAAGAATTTTCTTTTTTCAATTGCATTCTGTTCATTTATTTTTCCAAATCTCGTCCTCACACTCTCGGTCAGTTTACATTCTTCCATAAAATGAGCTACATTTCCGTACTTCCCACAAGCCAAGCATTGATCATTGCCCTGGAGATTAAAACGTTTTAAATAGGCCGGGAATCTACCATGATCCGTGATAACTTGAATAGTATCTATTCAAGTATCTATTATTAAATAGATCCATTTTTCTTTTTATGGTCAAAATCCTCAAGTAACCCTTATTTTTTTTTGAACCATTCCATTCCCGAGCCCATTTCTCAATTATACTTGCTTTCATTTCTCTCAAGGTAATTCTGGAATCATTAATAGTGTCATAAATATCACACTCTCCCAGGGCAGCCTCTTTAGCTAGCATATCCGCCCTCTCATTCCCGATAACACCAATATGTGCCTTGACCCAATGAAATATATACCATTTTTCTCTCTTATTTTGTTATAAATGTTTTTTATATCCAAAAAAAGTCTACTGCTTGGTTCCGGATTTGCCAAGCCTTGTAGGGCCGAGAGAGCATCAGAATAAATATGTACTGTAAAGTAATGTTTTAAGTTTTTATAACTCCACTCCAGTGCTTCTCTAATTGCAACCGCTTCAGCTTGATGCACTGATTTCTTTCTTTCTAATCGTATTTTTTTATTATAGATTTCGACTCCGTAATAAAAGATAACAAAAGCGCAACCAGTTCCACATTCATATCCGGAGCCATCAGTGTATATATCAATCATGCCACTATTCATATAATCTTTATCGTACAGTATACCCTTGAAATCTTTTGGATGTATATTAATAAAATCTTTTCCTGTCAAGGCGCTACCATTTAAAACATCACCATTTTCACATGTTAAAATCTTTTTAAAACCATAGCTGAGTAAAAATTTTTCATAATAAAAGTTATAAAAAATTGAGAGTGGCGGAATGCCAGCAAGTAAGCAAATAACTTCTGTAGAAACAGTACGGAAAGCTCTTTTGATTGCAAGCAGCCTGCTCCTTTGCAATGAATCCAGTTTAGTTCTCAGTCTAATCAATTCCCCTGCCCGGTAGCCCCACATGCCAATACCATATAAAATTTTTGGCCTAATAACATTTAAATAAATATCTCTAAGGATGATGCTTTTAAACTTTAAAGTTTGTGAATCAAAGGTACTTCTATAATATTTTAAAACCTTTACCTGTACCTTTTATGACACTTTTTAAACCGTAAATAATACATTAAACAGGCGGTTCTTCAGTATAGTGTCATACCACATTGTACAATATTCTAAAATCTAGTGAGTGCATCCAATCATATCACACAAATAAATTTTTGTTAAACCAGAAAGTAAAAGTGTCCAGACATAGGAAACTGACATAGAAAACGCCCCTCCAGTCCTGTCTAAGCCGTATATGTATGACCACGTAAAGAAAGATATCGTGGAGCAGCATATTAAAAAAATGCTAGATAACAAAATATTGCGCAAAGCACCATTCCTTACGGAAGTCCTATGGTACTCTGTAGACAGAAAAATGGGCTACCGCCCGCAGACCCCGAACTCGTGAGGGTTTGCGGTTGATTACCGCAAGCTAAAACAGTATAACAAAATATCCCACGTATCCCTTCCCGATAATTGATGAAAGCACTAGAAAAATTCATTCTACTAAATTCATGACGACATTAGACCTGACGTCAGGCTATTTTCAGATCGCTGTGAAACCCAAGGATGTCGAAAAGACAGCTTTAATTACAAAATTGGGCGTTTATGTCTTTTTAAGCCTGCCGTTTGGCTTAAGCGGAGCTCCGGCTACATTTCTGAATGCTATGGATATCGTTTTAAGGCCAGTCTTGGGCAAAAGTACAATAATTTACCTGGATGATATAATAATCACTAGCGAGACGATAGATGAACACATTAAACGTTTGGAGGAAGTTTTTACTTTGTTAAATGATGCCGGCTTCAAGGTAAACACGAAGTAATGCAAATTCGCTGCCAATAAGCTGCGGTATCTAGGTTACGAAATCTTAAAAAAGGTTATCGAGACCGATTATTCCAAGATTTTAGCAATTAAAAAACCTCCAAACATGTCTAAGAAATTATGTTTCTTTTTGGGCATGCGTTTTTATTATAGAGTATTCATAAGAGAAAACTAGATTTATATGGACAGCCGAGGCGAATACGGCTTTTGAAAAATTGGAAAACGCCCTAATTAACGCCCCAGTTCTTAAACTCTCAGAAGAGGATCAAAATTTAGAGTTTGCTGCAGATGCATCGGATTACTCAATTGGTGCAGTTCTCTCCCAAAACGGGCAGCCAATAGCCTCTTTTTAGCAAAACGCTTAACCGAACTCAAAGAAATTACTCGGCAACCGAGCGTAAAACGCTCGCTGCCTTACTAGCAGTACAAAAATTCCGCGTTTATTTAGGAAGTGCCCCGATAACAGTATCCTCGAACCATGCAGCAGTCAGTCGGCTGCTTGTATTCAGGAAAGAATCTCTCACCCCGCCTTATACGATAGACATTAAAACTGCAAGAATTTAATTTGATCATAAAACATACACCAGGGAAGGAAAACGTAGTTGCCGATGCCCTATCAAGAATTAAGATTGACGAAGAAGGGAACACAGTTAAATGCGCTATGCTGACCTCGAAAATTATCGAGTTCCGTGAAACAATAATTGCGGAGTTAAGAAAGGAACCTGAAATCAAGGATATTTACGCGTATCTGGAAGACCGCGCACATTTTGAACATGTGGACTTAACAGCTATTCGCAATAGGGCGGCTCATTATGAAATAATTGAAAAAATACTGTTTTACACGAAAATAACTAATTAGAATCAATAATACCGGCCAGTGGTCCCAGCGAGTCTTCG